AAGATGATGATGATGATAATAATAAAAGTATAGACAATGCAGAAGCTGCTGCATTCAACTCTCATCGTCCGAACAAACACATTTTGCGAGAAGACGTGTGCAGTTGACATACTTTCTGTTTATTAAATCCTTAATGCCCGGTCATAAATATATTTACACTTGTTATATATGACGGCCGTATTTCATTTCTGCATCCGCCAACATTTATTTTTTTCCCCATTTTTATTTTGATGCCAAGCGTAAGCTTGTTTGTGCTTTTAAAGCCGATTTCGCATCGTCGAAAATTTGCAGGGGTTCACTATTGTGAACTTTGATATTAAAGCTCGGATTATTTACTTTCTTTTTTTTTCGAGATCAAAAAAATACAAGGATAAAAAAATAACTTTTTTTATAGGTATTTGTAGATTATTGTTTAAACAATTGAAATATGTATGTCTCTTTGTCCGAATTTACGTACAAATATTGTAAAATTTGTATACGCAATGGTAAAATAAAGCAGCAAAAAAGAAATTAATAGAAATTGAAACAAAAATATTAATTTTAAGGATTATTCTAATAATTATTATTATTATTCTAATAATCCTTAAAATTAATTAGAAAAAACAATTCTTAAAAGTTAACAGTTGGTATTAGCCTTCAACTTTTTTCAAATGAAAAATGAATGCCAAACACAAAACAAATGTCAAATATGAAATTGAACATTTTATTCTGAAAGTGGATAAACATTTTTCGCAAACACAAGATAGAGAATAATACGCATCAGACATAAAGGTATATAGTTTATTACGATGTTGTTGTTGTACTGTTATAATATATTTAGTGAACTGCGAAGCAGGGGGACCAAGTCTGGGGACCAAAGACGCTGTCTGGTGGCGTGCCTTCGCAAATTTGAAAATCGAGTGGCGCCATCTTCAGTGGTCTCTATGGAACCTTAATTCAAACGAAAGCAATGGAAAGCAATATACCAAAACTTAACCTAAATATTTACCGTCTAAAGTGTGAGCTTCGTTGCATATGGTTGTGCCATCCATATTCTCGACATTTATTAAATTAAAAGGTGATATTTTACATATATAATTTACTTTTATATTATCTAACATTACTATTTATTGCAAATTATACAATTACATAAATAATTACAGGCTTCTCTGTAAATTTAGCCAACTAAATGTTCATTTATATTATTACAAGTTCGGTACCACATATATTAGTTAATAATTTTACTACTACTCACTAAATCTAAAAATAATGTATTGAAATAAATAAAAATTACTAATATATTCTTATCATTACGTTCGTTATTTCCTGATTAGCTAATGTTTAGATATTTCATACGTCTCTACTAATTAATTTCTTCATTTTGCAACAAGTACTTGAGTAAGTGGGTATCGAACCTACTCAATCCAGCATGTAAAAGTACCAAAAAAGTCAAGAATGAAAAATATTATTTTGTTGGCATAGGCCCTACTCAATTTAACCCCTCTAATGACTAACGGAAAGTGATCTGAAGCATATTGGAGAGGTGCAGTATTTTCAGTACAATGTCTGTATTTTTGGATATATATCCTGGAACTGGACAAGTGTATCTCATTTCTGAATAGTTATATTTGTTTACTTGTAGTTCAGTTTATTCAAATCCTAAATGAAATTTTAAATAGCTTAAAACAAATTAGTTAAATTTATCCCACTTTATAATCATCACAAATGTTCCTTCAATCAGACTGAAAAGCTAAAATAAATTGGCACTTACAAAACAACCTTGGGAATAAAGAGCTAAAAGAAAATCTAACAAGGATTTTATCACCATCCTACTAATTTATCAATACTCACTAATTAATAGACTGATCAATAGTAATACAAGTCTTAAGAAAGACTAAAATGTTTAATAATAATAATTAAACTTTTTTGGATCAGAACAAACTCGGTTAAAAGTAGTGAAGCAGTCGTGGATACAAATATAAATAGTGCGAAAACGTTAAAACAATAAAAACTATTTAAAATAAAAATATATTCTATTTTATGATTGATAATGTTCGGAAACATTAAAATTACTATATTTCTTTAAAATTAGGTTTTCTGATGATATTCAAGATATACTGATTTTCAATGAATTTATTTGAAAAAACACAGGTACATCGATTTGCATTACTTATTTCAGTGTTTCACATTTTGACAGAAATTCTTTGTTCACATTTTTTTCATTCAATCGAAATACACAGCATAACGAAAGTTTTGTTGTTGATTGACAATTTCGTTATTGTAGGTTATGTAAGCCAAACAAAATGTATATGCCAGGGTGACCAACTGAATTTTTGATGGTCTGTATATAGACTAGAAGTGCACACATTAATTCAATTTTAATATGAATAATCTGAAGTGGACACAATGATTTTTTAAATTTTATGCAAGGGTTGTGTGGGGGAGACACAAATGAACGAAGTTTTTAATTAAGTAATGAAGAATAAAGTTTGAATGAATTGCTGAAAGTTGAATTAAAAGGAAATAAAAAGTGAATTTTATGAGTGGAATAATTTCCAGACAAGACGATGAGCGAACAAAAAAAAAAGAAAGTAAAGCAGAGAAGAACAAATCACTGTAGTGAGAATAAGAGAAAATGAAAACGAGGATGTGAATAAATAGCGGCATGAATATAATAACTCAGTGCTCTTTCTAGCTGAAAATTTGTTTTCAGCACGAAAATATATTTATCTCGGACTCCATTTTTTTGATGTTGTAATGTTATTCATTTCGTTCCTGTATTATTGTTGTACTTTTTTTTTTAATTCTTGTCGCTCCAGTTTTGCACTATGTTCTTCTTTTTTTTTGTTTCTGTTGTTCTTCACTTTTTTCCCCTCTTCCTTCCTTTTGTTTTAGTTGTGTTATGCAAATGAGAGATAATGAAATCTCTGAAAACGCTGAAAGCCTCGCAAGCAAATCCTTTTTCCAACCCCCTCACCGACCTAGACGTTCCCACCACTGTTTCTTCATCCCATTCTTTTGTTCTTGTCGCCTGCATTTCAAAATCCCCCTTTTATCTCCCATTTACGTGTTTCCTGCTCAGGCATGCATGTTTGTTGTCCGCCCTTTGTTTTTTCCCTCTTCTTAATTTCGTTCATCCGGTACGCGAAAAGCACGAAAAATTTCGTTTTGCATAGTTTTTCCGGATTCATGTGAAATTAGTATCAGTATTTTTTTTTTTCAATAAATAGCTTTCGATTAAAATTAAATTTTCAATTTCAAAATGAAAAGCTAACAAAAACACAATGAACAAAAGCAAAATGATACAATATTTTTTAATTAACGAATATTGAATTTATTTTGGTACAATCGCAATAGCAATAATAACATGAGAGAGAAAAAAAACAATATAGGTGTGTAATGGAAATAATTCTATGCGTCAAAAGTGCAATAAAAATGCGCCGATGGCTGCATACAATTTGCAATAAATTTTGATGCGCAATTTTCATTCGGCGTTTGGTTGATTGGAAAAGTTTTAAAATATTTTTTTTACAATATAATACAAAAATAAACGAAAATATATTTGATATGTTACAAATGTTATTAATTCTTTACTTTCTGCACGAACTGAAAGTTTATAAAATTTGAAAATATCCACGTGAACAATAAAATCTCATGGTTTTATTTCACAGCTTATGAGTCGTGTTAAATTTGTAATGAATTGCGAAATGTCAGCTGTCATTTTTTGTCAAAAGAGCAATTGCTCAAATACTCTTAGCAAATATGTTTGGTTATATAATGACAGCTGTCACTTTATGTCAAAGCGAATAATTGTTGAAATAGTATTGGCAGCAGCAAAACTTCAAAGAAACATGTTAGTTGCGAAATGACAGCTGTCACCTTGTGTCAAAGTGTCAAAAATTGTATATTATATATATAATATATAATTGTATAATCTTTTGGATCGCAATACAACAACAAACATGTTGAGTTTTGAAATGACAGCTGTCACTTTGCATCAAAAATTGTATATTATAAACTTTTGGATTGCAGTAAAACTACAAACAAATATGGGTTGTTGGGTGTAGCAAAGGGTTGAAAAACGTTGCTCTAAACAGTGAAGATTCTAAATATGAAAATAGAGATATTTTTATACACTTTACACGTCATTATTAGCAGCGCAACGAAAATCATAATAATTGCATCATATTTACTTACATCTCAAGTAAATATTTAAGTTATCCAACTCATATAAATATAACAGTAACATGTGGTATTATAATATAATGACAATAAAAAATTTGTCTCTATTGATGAACAAAATTATGAAATTCTATGTTTAAAAATATTGCTAAAAAACGTAATATATTCGTATAATTTCATAAAATTAATCTTTTAATTAACAAAGCAATTTTTTTTAGAATATTAGGATAAAAAGTAAGAACAGCAATACCTCAAATACTAATCAAAATTTGTTTATTAAAAGAGACTTGATTGTATTAAGAAAAAAAAGATATATTTTTTTTTAATTTAATTATTATTTTTTAATTTTATTAAAATTTAGGTTGTCTTAAAACTTTTAAACTGTACAATAGAGAATTCGCACTGATTGAATCCGCACTATGCGAGGTATTGCTGTAAGTTCATGAAATGAGAGAAATATTGAATAGGAATAAATTAAAAAAATCTCTTGAAACATCTTTTTGAAAATAAAAAGAAGTTAATAATTTCTACCATTCTTCTACATGGAATATATTAATTCAATTGTCCGATTTTGTTTTGCTTCAACTATTTCCAATGAACATATAAGAATGATTAAAAAAAAATTATTATAAAAAAAAAATTAATATTTTTCACTAATTTTATAAATATTTAATATTTTGTTGCGACAATATTATCAATCAAGAAATTCAATTAATTAAATTAAAACAATTAATATAAGTATTAAAAAAATATATAATTTTTTCAATTTATTATCAAAAAAAAATTCAATATTAAATTGTTAAATTTGTTTTAATCAAATTATAATACAATTTTTTTACCATCTTTAGCTGCGGAGTCTGCAAATTCCAGTAGAGAGTCCAGAACCAAAAATAAAATCCTCGATATCACCAAAAATCGTCGCGATCGAAACAGAACCATATTGTCAATGTATTTGTTAATTAAACAAACAAACAAACTGTTTACAGGGAAGATACGATAATACGGTTCACTATATAGATACAGAATAAAAAAATTTGCCGATCACTCGCACTAAGTATTAAGTTTGCACACATAATCCAGAAACGCGAACAACATCTTAAAACAGAATTAATTAATCACAGTGAAAACCACTTGGATGAGCGTTCGAAATGTGTTAAAAAAATAAACAACAATTGAGATAATGAACAAATTCACTTATTTAACGTTAAAATCTTTCAGTATTAATTTTACTTTTAAACTTTAAATATTTAAACTTTATTATTTATTTATTTTTTTGCTATGAAAATTATTTTTTTGTTGTAATTTTTTGATCTCGCGCTGGTTCTACGCGCTAAGATTTATTATCGATTAGGATGCCGCCTGTATCACATCAACCTTGATACTGGCGCTTTTCGGGTCTCGCCCCACTCGCGTCGCGACGCCAACGGCGCAAGTCGGCGCCGCATATAAACCCGCACCTGTATCGCACAATATGTAGATTCTATTTCATAGCCAACTTCAAACGGCGCCCCTTTTTGCCCCCAGGACGCATCGCCCATATGACCCCTAAGCTTATGGATCTCCGAAAACTTGAGAGAATGAATTGTAATAGTTTTCTAAGTACATTCGGTTAACGTACGTAATGGATACACGAATTGATGTACTTTAAGCGAATTTACATTAATCGATGAATTCAGATATTATGTTTACCCATAAGCGTAATTAAAAAAATGTACGTATTATCGAAAGTACGTTAATTTAGCTCTGTCTATTATTTTAATTTAAGTTGGAAAAGTATCGATTGCTTTTATTTGTTTGTAGTTTATATTTTCTCCAAACTGAGCATCAAATATCCAATAGTTTCACCTAGATTTGGACTCGTCGAATCGGATCACAACACAAACTTTTAGAGCAAGTTTTCAGCTTTTAATGCTGAAAATGTATATAACAAATACATGGAAATAACAAAATCTAGATTCATCGATTCAATTAATGTTTCTTAAAAAAAACATAATTGATTGCTAAAGTTCTTACAAGAAGTTAATAAAAGAAGGACAAGTCTTTGAGTTTTGTTTTTTTTTTAGATTTATTTGTTTAATTGAAAAAAATAATTAGAAAATGAAAACCAAATGATTAAGTAATTAAGAATTGAGTAGTCATCGAATCAGAGAGATTAAACAATTAACGTTACTATGACAACCAAATAAAATAAATCATTATTTTTGTTATGCAAAAAAAAACAAACTGTGGATAGAGTTGATAAAATGGTAAAAAAAAACAATAACAGATCAATATGACACATCGTAATTGGATTGTATCAAAGCTAAATATTGAATGCACTAAATAAAAGGAGGAAAAAACAGTTAATTGACGAAAAAGTATGAATTTCTCTAAAAACAACTGAATTATTCAACGTGCATATAAAATTTAGCATATGCTTATTTCTTAAATTAATCATGTTATTAAAGCTATAAATACAAATATTTATTTATTACAAGTAAGTTTCTATTTTCGCAGAAATAATTATATATACAATTCGTAGATAAAGCATTACTAGTGATTTTAATATATATAATTTATTTGATATGAAAATATATTGAATTTAAGACATTAAGAAGTATATGACTCTAGTGATATAAAAATGCTTAATAAAATCTGAAAACTAAAACTTCTAACAATATGTGGCAGAATATGTAAATAAACTAGGCACCTCCACCACTAAAAATACGTTTGTTGAGTATTGTAAACAGTATAAATGTATGAACAAACCAAGTACCTCCAGCAATAAGTGCGTTATTTGCATTACACATTTCAATCAATTTACACTTATGTTATTCGAAGATAATAGAAACGCCAAATATTTTATATAAACTATTTTATATAAATAAATATCTAAGGTGGATTTCACGATTTTTTAAATCGGGTTTCTGGCAAAAACTGATAATATTTTTAAATCCATATTATACTATAGAACGATGATGAAAAAAGTAGCGAAGAATAAAATTAAGCCACTGCTTTCAAAAATGTTATTGAAAAGTTAATACATAAATATCTTCAAGAACCAGAAAAAATCAGTGTAAATTTTACAACATAAACTTTTGTTGTAAAATTTACATTGAATTTTTCTGACAATTTGTGGAATTATTATTGTTTGAAATTGTATATTATAAAAATGTTACTGCTTGATGTAAGAAATCGAATCAGTTCATTTTTATGCATCTAATCATTGTGTGATGTTACAATTAACGTTACTATGACAACCAAGAAAATCAATATTTTTGTTATGCAAAAAAAAACAAACTATGGATAGAGTTGATAACATGGTAAAAAAAACTATAACATATCAATATGACGCAATGTAACTGGATTGGATCAAAGTTAAATATTAGATGCACTAAATAAAAGGAGGAAAAAAACGGTTAATTGACGTAAAAGCATGAATTTCTCTAAAAAAAAACTGAATTATTTACAACTGGCACCTCCACCACAAAAAATACGTTTATTGAGTATTGTGAACTACATATTTGAACAGTATAAATGTATGAACAAACCAAGCACATCCATCACTAAGTGCCTTATGTGCATTACACATTTCAATCAATTTATACTTATGTTATTCGAAGATAATAAAAAAAACGCAAACTACGCAAAAACAATTTCAATACAAATGCTCAAGAAATAATATAATACTGGAAAACTTTAACAATTTGAAGTTTACATTCTTCAATTATACTATTAAATATAAATAAATATCTAAGGTGGATTTTACGGTTTTTTAAACAGGGTTTCTGACAAAAATTGATAATATTTTTAAATACTGGACAAATATTCTTGAGACTATATCCAAATTATACTATAGAAAACGATGAAGAACGATAATGAAAAAAGTAGCCACTAAATTAAGCCACTGCTTTCAAAAATGTTATTGAAAAATTAATACATAAATATCTTATATGTTGTAAAATTTAAACTGAATTTTTCTGATCATTTCTAGAATTATTATTGTTTGAAATTGTATATTAAAAAAATGTTACTGCTTGATGTGAGAACTCGAATCGGTTCATTTTTATGCATCTAATCATTGTGTGATGTTATACTGAATTGAATGGAATAGAATAAAAGTTATAAAGGATCTCGTTCCACAATACTTTATACATTTTCTTGATATATGACTGGTCGTTGAAATTGAAAATGTAGTTACTCATATTTCAGCGAATAAGCGAACTGACCTGGACAACACTTTTCCCGGGGGATTAATATAAGCTCGGAGAGACACTTGACTTATACGGCGTCATCGATTTCAAAGAGTCTGAATGCGTCAGAGTCTCTTTGTGTGTGTATGTGTGTGTGTTTTGTATTTTTAAGAGGGGTTTGTGAATGGTTGGAAAGGAAGGGTCTCGAGCAGAGGCACTTCAGGATTAAGCAATTAAGATAATGAAATTCCTGGGTGGATCTGGTTGGTAAGATTCTTGCCGCGTGTATTTGTATTAGGGATATCAACAGATTAAAATTTTTGGAGGGGAACAGGAACGGAAAAGCCGTGAGTTATCCAAGTGTTTGATTGAAAAGTCAAACAAAGTCGGGACGCGCGTAATGAGCGCGATGCGATCGTGTTACCCTCCGGAGGATTAGTTCAAGTTGTGTGTCGGAGATCAGCCCAGCACATTCACACTCATGGGAAGTCATCTGACTACTGCTTTTGCTGCTACTTCTTCTACCCTGATAAATATTGACACGTATTTATCTTTCGAGATCGAAGGCGGAAAAGACAGACAAATGTATATCTATTGTTGAGTTGAAATGAAAAATATGGGAGACGACGCTCTCCCGTCGATGTGGGAGAACGAAAAATGGGCTTCCTATTGATTGGATTCCTCGTTCCACGCTCGCCTCCGTTCCTCATCAAAAACTTGGCGCTCTGGGGTGTGGGGGGATGCGTTCTGCCGTCTTAATACAAGTGTACAAAAAATGATTGCTCTATTAACAAAAGTGCTACCAGATGAACGAAAACAAAAAACTATATATATTGAGAGAGAAGATGATGGAAGAACTCGAGTGCTCAATCAAAACACGTTAGACATCTCCGATATATCCAACGCACGTCTCTTCGTTGATTACTTCGAGATATCCTCTTCCAGATACATACATAAATATATCCATTAATTAGTTTCGATTACTTCTCACGCAATTTACGCATTGACACTGACAGCTGTCACTTTGTTTAGATATGTCAAAAAAAAATTATAAACAATTGCGTCGTAGCACAATTACAAACAAATATGTTGGGTCGCGAAATGACAGCTGTCACCTTGCGTCAAAACGTCAAAAAATAATATATTATAATTGGTTTTAAATAATTATCATATTACCCATTAAGAAGAAAATGTGCAAATAAATTTGTAAACTATAAACAATAACTATTAATATATCAATAGACTAGACTAATAGTAGGATCCAGGGGGTCTGCAGTTGGTATGGGCACTGTCTGCGTGGTTTGGAGAGAAGAAGATTTTCATCCGAAATCGGTTGAATTCGGAACTATTCGGAAATGTTTCAAATGTTTTCTTTGCAATCATAAACTTTTTTATGTAGTTTCAAACTTCTTTTGTCTATTTTCGTCCATTTGTATTTCACCGTTTTGAAGAAGACAAGAAAACAAGCAAGTAAGTAATGTGTCTACAATTATTCTTTAGTATTCCATTGAGATCATTTCCTCCGCTTCATTCTCCATTGTTCGAGCAATGGAAAATTGCTACGAGGAATGAATCATTGAAAAATATGGATAAAGAGCGTATAAAGTGTATTAAGAGAGTTTGTAATCTACATTTTACTGAAATTTTCAGAAGAAAACCTGTCTTTCAATTTTCCAATGTTAACGGAAAATTTGTTGGAAGTAGTAGAAGTTGAACAAATTGATAGTGTTGATGATAGTAACAACATTATTAGGGACAATTATCATAATTTAGATCACTCGTATTGTAAAACAGAAGTTGAGCCCAAAGAAATTATAATTGTTCATGGTGATATAGAATACAGAAAAGGTAATTTATCAATTAAGCTACATATTTAAATCACTATTAATTCATGTTTTTACTTATATTGAATGCATGAATAAACGAGGACCATCTATAAGGAGGGAGTATGTGGACAACACTGGAGAGGTAATTTATCAATTACTCAATACATTTAAATCACTATTAATTAATGTTTTTCTTTAGATTGGATGGATCATGCACGAGT